TTCAATTTCGTGGAATATCCTGTGTGCAGAATTATGTCCTTTTGTGCATTAGTTGTAATTTAGATGGCTACTCAAAAATTGAATCAGTATACATATAATTCTAGGAAGGATTACTAATTCTTGAAGAGGAAAGATAATGGTTGTCTACTACGTAGATATTAGAGATAGCTCAATGAATTATTTAGAAATTCCATCAATTATTAGCCAAGACTAGTTTCAAAACTTATCTTCAATACATATGTCTGGGACTCAAGATTCCTTCTTGAGTGCCACTTAACAAGAAAAAAGGTATAATCAAATTTGAATACATCCATTGTCATATTTTCTTGCTAAAGGGGTTTTGGAACTGTATGGATGAGCCTATAACTCCATTTTAAATCTCATTCGCTACTAACAGCAGGTGGGGTTCTTAGGTCTATAGATAGGGTCTGTATTATTTTGGTTTGTATTTGATCTTCATTGTGTGTTATATATTGGTTGCCTGCTGTCAATCTAATATCAGCATTGCATATGAACTGTCACTATGACTTGCTTGTTCAGCTGGAGTTTGTCTCTGGCTATCTTCTTCAGCACAAATATGGCAAAGTCTGTATTTTTATGGCAATATTTGGGTCTGTATGTCTTATGAAATGCCCTTGTTCTCTTTTTAAGTTGATTATGTGCACATTTATTATTCCTGCAGTAGAAATTGGTAGGCCTGGGAATCCTGTGACAAAACAATATGATCCAGAGACAAAGCAGAGGTCTCTTCTCTTCCAGATATAATTTATTCCCAATTGTAGTTCAGTTGTATGATATTGTCTTTATACGATTTATGGGCATTGACAAGTTGGTATTGCTTTCCCTTAATCCATGCCAGATTGAGTATCCTGAGATAGAAGACAATGTCAAACTGAGGCACCGTGTTATGTCATCTTATGAGCAGGTTAGTGATATATTTCTTTACCTAACAATTCTTTCTTTTACCAAATCATTTTAGGGTTTGAACACATTTTATTGCATTTAAAAAATGTTGAGCTCTCCATGTGATTTTACTTTTGTCAAAAGCAGAAATCTAATATGTTTATTCTTTTATTTAATTATTTATTTATTTATTTATTTTACATCAACGTAGAGAGTGCAACCTTTCTTTTGTCAAAACTGAAAAGCAGAATCTTATATCATTTTTCATTTATGTATTTTTTGACATGAATGTAGAGAGTGCAACCTTTCAATAGAAGATACCAGTATCTTCGATTTGCTGCAGAACCATATGAGATCATAGCCTTTCAAGGTAATTAAATCTTGTTAGCTCACATTCTCTTAATTACCGTTAATTTTCATCTATGTCTCATTAAATCCTCATCTTAGCTTCTATATTACTTTTCAGGTCTGCAGTACTGAGATTGACAAATCCACATTGGGATCCTGACTTGAAATGTTCATGGTTAGTCTCTTTGTTGCCAAAATTTTCAGGTCCCCAGCACTCCCCAGTTCTCCTCACATTGGGATCCTGACTTGAAAATGTTCACGGTTAAGTCTCTTTTGTGCCTAACTTTACTGTTTACTGTCTTTGTTTCTCTTCGATTCTTTTTATTTTGTTCTTGAGCCTCTTTCCAACCAAACATGTTGTGTTCCTGCCTGCTATACCTAGAAGCTAGAGCATATTTACTTTCTGTATTCAACTTTGGTTTGAACTCCCAATCATTTGTTACTGGGTTGGTCTAAGGAACACTGATTCTTTAATTATTTTTTGGTACATAGCTGTATAATATGGGATGTCACTCCCCTTTCCAGATTCCTAATTTCCTACCCACCCGCCCAATGTTTTAACTTGACACTTCTTACATGAAGAATCATGTTCTTAACCTTTGGGACAAACCCTTAGGGATTGATTCTTGAAATTTTTGTTCATGTTATCTGACTGCTGTTTGATCTTCATCAACTTGCACCTGCAGATGTATTTCAAAGTCAAACCTCCAGAGGCAAATAAACCTCAGACCACCCCAGCAACTAATATAACGGCAGCTCCTGGTGCCCCTCCTAGACCTTTACCCCCCACTGCTCCATGCTTCACCACTGCCACCTCCACTACAAGGGCTGCCAAATCCTCCTAGTGCCCCACCTCAGTTTCTGGCTCCCTACCGCCGCCTCCTCTTATGGGAAATGGTTCTAGACCAATGCCTCATGGAAGCATCTCCACCTTACCCCCTGGAGGTAGAGGCACAATGGCAAATTTCACTGCTAGGCCTCTAACAATTGCTCCTCAAGGTTTTCCTTGTCAACAGATGCCACATCCGCTACCTCCTAAC